GTACAGGAGGTGTCTGGGAGATGTCTGGGGGTGTCAGGAGAGGGGGGTGTGTGTGTGTGTGTGTACAGGAGGTGTCTGGGAGATGTCTGTTGGGGGTGTAGGGAGAGGTGTGTGTGTGTGTGTGTGTGTACACGGGGTGGCTGGGGGGTGTAGGAAGAGGTGTGTGTACTGGGGGTGTAGGGAGAGGTGTGTGTACATGGGGTGTCTGGGGGTGTAGGGAGAGGGGTGTGTGTGTGTGTACAGGTGGTGTCTGGGAGATGTCTGTTGGGGGTGTCGGGAGAGGTGTGTGTGTGTGTGTACAGGAGGTGTCTAGAGGATGTCTGTTGGGGGTGTCGGGAGAGGTGTATGTGTACGGGGGTGGCTGGGAGGTGTCGGGGGTGTAGGGAGAGGTGTAGGTGTGTGTGTGTGTGTGTGTGTACACGGGGTGTCTGGGGGTGTAGGGAGAGGGGTGTGTATGTGTGTGTACACGGGGTGTCTGGGGGTGTAGGGAGAGGGGTGTGTGTGTACAGGGGGTGCCTGGGGGGTGTCTGTTGGGGATGTAGGAAGAGGTGTGTGTGTGTGTACGGGGTTGTAGGGAGAGGTGTGTACGGGGCGTGTCTGCGGGTGTAGGGAGAGGGGTGTGTGTGTACAGGGGTGGCTGGGGGATGTCTGTTGAGGGTGTAGGGAGGTGTGTGTGTACAGGGAGTGGCTGGGGGGTGTAGGGAGAGGTGTGTGTGTGTGTGTGTGTGTACAGGGAGTGGCTGGGGGTGTCTGTTGGGAGGGGTGTCTGTTGGGAGGGGTGGCTTGGGGTGTTGGGGGACATGTGGGAGGGGAGGGAGAGAGCGGGCTCTGGGTGTGGTGGGGGATTGTTCTGTTCTTTGTGCACACGAGCTCTAGAAACGTGCAAACATTGTGTGCTCGCTAATGCGCATTGCGCATGCCTGGAGATCACCCCCCCTCCGTGCCCTTTGCCCCGGATGTCCAGCTCGTCCTTGCCGAGAGGTGGGGAGGAGCCGCCGGAGCCGGAACCTGCTGCTGGGCGGGTAGAGCTGGGCCTGGGGCGGGGGGGCGGTCTGGAGGGGAGGGGGTTTTGAGGAGGGGGCGCGGGGGGGCTGTGTGCATGGTGCGGGGGCGCCGGGGGCCTGCGTAGAGTGGCGCATTGGGATTGATCTAGGGCGGCGGGTGAGGTGTGTAGTGAGTTACACACGTCATTGTTCACACCCGTGTAACTAATGGGCGTGGCTACACAAGTAGCTCCCTGTGGATCAGCGGTTCTTTACCGTCCTTGTTGTGTTGCGCAGCGCGAGTGCAGCGGGCTCCAAGGCGCTGTGGTTGTACAAATGATACTTTTACAAACCATGTTCTGACCCTGTGAGCGCGGAGAGAGCAGCGATCTCTGAATGTGATGGGGGTGGAATCGATAAATGATGGAGTCCGTATACAGTTATGGAACAGATTGATGAATTAAACAGTAGTAAATCCCCAGCGCCAGATGGGATTCACCCAGGAGCTCTGAAGGGACTCTCATTTGAAATGCAGAACTACTAACTGTGATATGTAACATATCACTTAAATTGGCCTCTGTACCAGATGATTGGAGGATTGCTAATGAGTAAGGTTAAGATTCTGTCACAGATATTTTTAGTAAAGTCAGGGACAGGTCATGGGCAATCAACAAAAATTCAAAGAATCCCATGACCCGTCCCTGACTTTTACTGAAAATACTGGGGGGGACGAGAAGCACAGTAACAGTCAGAGCGCTGCCAGGGGCTGACCTCTGGCAGCTGCTCCAGTCCTGCTACTGCTCCTGTGGTAGGAGCTGACTACCGCTGCTCCAGTCCCTGCCACTGCCTCATCCCTGGGGTTGCTGGTCCGAGGGGTCACCCTACCAGCCAACTGCTCCAGCAACCCTGGGGCTGATCTTTGGTTGTTGCTCCAGTGCCCTGGGGACTGCTGCTCTGGTGGCCTCTGCTCTGGCACCAGGGGGTTGACCCAACCCTCGCCGGCTGCTGCTGCTTCAATCCCGGGGGGGCTGACCCAACCTTGGCCGCTGCTTCACCCTGGGGCCACTGCTCCAGCAGTCCGGGGCCGCTAGCTGCTTCAGCCTTGCCCCTGAAGAAGTTATGGAGGTCCCAGCAATATGCATCCGTGACCTCTGACAGAATTGTATCCTTACGAATGTGATGCCAATTTTTAGGAAAGGCTCCAGAGGTGGTCCTGGCAATTACAGGCTGGTAAACCCAACTTCAGTACCAAGCAAATTGCAATTATAGTGAAGAACAGAATTATCAGGCACATAGATGACTCTTCCCAAACAAATCATGTTCAACATGGCTTTTGTAAAGGGAAATCATGCCTCATTAATTTACTAGAATTATTTGAGGGGATCCACACATGTGGACAAGGGTGATCCAGTGGATATAGTGTACTTGGATTTTCAGAAAGCCTTTGACAAGTTTCTTTACCAAAGACTCTTTAAGCAAAGTAAGCAGTCATGGGCTAAGAAGGAAGGTCCTCTCATGGGTCATGGTTAAAAGACAGGAAACAAAGAGTAGGAGTAAATAGTCAGTTCTCTGAATGGCGAGAGGTAAATAGTGGTGTCCCACAGGGATCTGAACATGGACCAGTGCTGTTCAACATATTCATAAATGATCTCGTAAAGGGGTGAACAGTGATGCGGCAACTGTGATGATATACAGTTACTCAAGATAGTTAAGTCCAAAGCAGACTGCAAGAGAGTTACAAAGGGATCTCACGATACTGGGTGCCTGGGCAACAAAATGGCAGCTGGAATTCAGTTTTGATAAATGCGAAGTAATGCATATTAGAAAACATAATCCTAACTATCATACAAAATGGAGTGTAAATTAGCTGTTACCACTCAAAAAAGAGATCGTGGAGTCATGGATAAGTCTCTGAAAATATGCACTCAGTGTGCACTGACAGTCAAAAAAGCTAACGGAACGTTAGGAATAAGTGGGAAAGGGATAGATATCATAATGCCACTATATAAATCCATGGTACCCCACAAGTCTGGCTCTGCGTGCAGTTCTGGTCGCCCCATCCAAAATATTAGAGTTGGCAAAGGTACAGAGAAGGGCAACAAAAATTATTAAGATTGTGTAACAGCTTCGTATGAGGAGAGATTAAAAAGACTGGGACTATTCAGCTCAGATAAGGGACTAACGGGGGATATGATAGGGGTCTATAAAATCATGAATGGTGTGGAGAAAGCGAATAAAGAAGTTCTGTTTAACCCTTCACATAACACAAGACCCGGGGTCACCCAACACAATTAGGTTTAAAACACAAGGAAGTATTTCTTCACACAATGCAGAGTCAACCTGTGGAACTCATTGCCGAGGATGTTGTGAAGGCCAAAACTATAACTGGGTTCAAAAAAGAATTAGATAAGTTCATGGAGGACAGGTCCATCAGTGGCTGTTAGCCAAGATGGTCAGGGATGCAACCTCGTGCTCTGGGTTTCCCTAAGCCTCTGACTGCCAGATGCTGGGACTGGATGATGGGATAGATCACTTGGTGATTGCCCTGTTCTGTTCATTCACTTGGAAGTACTTGGCATTGGCTGCTGTCAGAAGACAGGATACTGGGCTAGATGGACCATTGGTTTGACGCAGATTGGCCATTCCCATGTTCTTCTTTTCTAAATTTCCATTGTCAAAATAAATGAACAATGGTCACTTTGTGGTTCAGTTTCCTTATGTCATCTGTTAACAAACTTGATGTTTTGCAGAATCCAGTAATTCAGAATGGCCACCATTTTTGAATTTGTCTGCCCAAAAGTTAGGTTCCTAAATCCATGTCAGGGCCCTGATTCTGCAATGACATCTGTGCGAGTGCAGAGATCCACCTGCACAGATGTCATTGCAAGACCTGGGCTGTAGGCATCTAAATAGAAGTGGCCTGATTTTTCAGAAGTGTTGAGCAAACCAGCTTCCATTTAAGTCAATGAGAATGTCAGATGCTCAGTCCCTCAGAATAAGGGCTACTTTGCTTAGATGCCTAAATATTGATTTAGGAGTCTAACTTTAGTCCCATAGATTTGAAAACTTTGGTCAATGTGTTTCCCAATCACAGTGAACTAGTAGTACAGTTTTGTCTATGGGTTTTTTATGAAGATTTGCTGCAGTAAAAATAAGCAGAATACATAATACACTGTATAAAGTAAGTGTGCATGCTATGGAGTGTAGTCAAATCTTGTCCTATTGCTAATGCATCTAATTTTGTCTGAAGCTACTAGAGTTACAGTAGCTCAGTTAAAAGACAACCCGGGTGCCTTGGAAAAGGCGTATAGGTAGTTTAAAGTTAATACAGTTCTATGCAGGAGGAGCCTGTTTGCTGAAACTCACTGACTGTAGATGTGTGTGGAGCCCTATGTGGATACAATATTTGTATCCGCATCTGATCTGCAATCTGCAAACATGGTCTGGGGATACTGCAAATTTGCAGGGCTCTAGAAGTGTGCTGCTTGTGAAATTTACAGGGAAGTGAAAATAGGATTATAGAATGGAATATCTCCTGCATTGCGAGGCTATTTCTACATTAGACTTTCTGAGGCTTGGTCTACACTAAACCCCCAAATCGAACTAAGGTACGCAACTTCAGCTACGTGAATAACGTAGCTGAAGTTCGAAGTACCTTAGTTCGAACTTACCTCGGTCCACACGCGGCAGGCAGGCTCCCCCATCGACTCCGCGGTACTCCTCTCGTCTAGCTGGAGTACCGCAGTCGACGGCGAGCACTTCCTGGTTCGACTTATCGCTTCCAGACAAGACGCGATAAGTCGAACCCAGAACTTCGATTGCCAGCCGCCGAACTAGCGGCTGGGTGTAGACATACCCTGAGACAGTTCCCATCATTGCTAATTTTGGCATAGCTCCACTGAGCAGAGCAGTAGTATAGATGCAGCTTCAGGTGGTTACCAACATTTTAACCAGTGTCTAAACCTAGGTGTTGTAGTGTTTCTGGCAACTTGTCTATGAGAGTGCAATTATGGGGACCCTCCCCCTCCCCCCGAAAATAAGCTTCATGTAGATGAGACCTAATAGGTTCCATCTTAAATCCCCAAAGTTATCAAATTATTTCCAAATTCCCCACATTTATTTAGTGCATCTAACTACATCTACTTCTGGAGAAGAGGTACAAAAGTTAAACTCCAGAGGGTTGTTTTATTTGATTTTGTTATGGGCTTCAGAGCAGAACAGACCTGAGGAAACTATTGGATAAACATAAGGTGTGTTGTGTCAAGAGCACGGAAGGGGAATGTGCATGAGAGCTTTCTTACCTGCGGAGGTGAACTTTTTTGGTTCTTTTTGTTTTTTGTATTAAAAAAAAAAAAAAAAAGCTTTCTGGCTCTCAAGAGGATAGTGTTTTTATACGATTTTTTTTCTCCCTATAGCTAGAGTACAAACTTTTTAAACAAATGGTTTAGTTTATTAACTTCAGCTTTAAAAATGAACAATTGTCTCTTTCTAAATCCACCTAGTGGGAGGTTTCACATGGTGATATTTCTCCAACAAGAATAAAATGCCATCTTTTAGAGAGAGTACTTAACACAACTATTTTATGTGCAGATCTCCTTTGTACATGTTATGGACACAGGTGTGGATAAAGTAAAATCTAATGATTTGACTGAAAAGATTGATCATCTACATCTGTTAATTTCAATATTTAGAGGTATTTTGAAGAAACTAAAGTGTTTTTTCTCTCCTCCTAGGCTGGCTGCAAACACAGTTGAACAGATACCACTGATACTGTCTGATTCCAAACAAGATGAACACATTGTCATTGCTGCTAAGATTCCCTCACTACCGTTTTCTTAGAAAGATTTCTTTCAAAAGCTTCCACTCAAATTTCACTCCTGGATCATTATTTCCATATATTCCATCTTTTAATTCAGTATGCTTGTATTGTACAAAGTGGATGTTGCCAGCAAGTGATTTGAAAAGAGGGATGTGTTATCAAGCAACCGTAGACCAACAAACACAGGGACTTTGTGACAAGGAACAGAGACTTGTAGACAAACTTTACAGTGGATTAATCAAAGGGCACAGAGCCTGCTTGGCAGAGGCCATTACTCTCATAGAATCAACTCAGAGCAGGAAAAAGGAGATAGCCCAGGTGCTCATTCAGAAGGTATTATCCTACCACAGAGAACAAGAAAAGTTAAATAAAGGAAAACCACTAGCCTTTAGAGTGGGTCAGTCCTCTTTTGTCTGTCCAGTAACTGTTGTGATGTTATAATGATATCACCTCTTGTTTCCGATATTTATCATTTTAAGCAAATATGGAGTATAGTCTGAAATCATTGGGTTATTAATAGTTTGTAACCATCTTTGAGTCACTTGTATTGTTCATAAGAATAGTTTCTCCACAATGCTGGAAAATACTCTTGGGGAGACTTTAAAAATGGCTCCTCAATTTCTGGGGAGAATAAAGGGGAATTTTTCATGGATGATAGGATTAGTTTTGTTGAGCTGAAGAATATGGGGGGCTAGAAGGCATAGCTGCACCAACTATTCAAAGTTTAGATGAGCATTGCCAAATGACTGTATCTTTTTTCTTGAGGTGCATGTGTTTCCCCAAAAAAAGGAGGAGAAAAAATTGTTTCAGTTGTTTTATCATTAGTAAAGGCCCCACCTTAAAGCAACCTACCTTATAGCTGAGGAGAGGTGGGTGAGATTCCCTTTACAACCTATCAGATGCTTCAATATCAACTGGAAGGATCGCTGTAGAGTGGTGTAGTGCACAATTGCCTTATGCATGTGTATGTCCAAAGGAAGCAAGAACTGGAACAGGGCATCTTAAAGTTAGTGAAGAGCACAAACCCCAAAGCAACAGGCCAGTCCTAGTTTAGTTGTCTTAAGTTAGCATGCAAGTCACCCATCTTCTTATCTGAAACAGAAATTTTAAATAATGAATGATTTCTGAAAATTGTAGATTTGACATGTTGCATTTTTAAAGTTCTGCAGTGCAAACCAGTATGGAGAAACTTCTGTTTGGGGAGGGGAGAAGAGGTTAAATCAATCTTATGTTGCTATGGGCAAAATGAATAAGTGTTAGAGAAGTGAATGATCCCCTCCGGAGTAGACTGATATAATACACTGCAAATCCAGAATGAGAAGGTTTGGATTTCTTCATTAGAAAATTCAATATTAACATGTAATTCTAGTTGCCTTAACAGGAAGATGAAATCCACCAGTATGTGGTTTATGAAGGTGATTAATTGTAGCAATTGGTTGCATTTTGTGATATATCTGGAGGCAGGAAAGGGGGAAGTTACTTTTTTCAGACAAATGTAAATTTAAAAAAAACCAAACACCCCTCTATTAGTAGCGGGTTTTGTGTGGAGATGGGGGTGTGTGCAAAAGAGGAGGGGTAATTTACTAGTAGTGACAGGCCTCAGATTATTTGTAGTAAATAATTAGAATAGGGTCTCATAGTATTTTTCTTAAATATATTTTTAAGACAAGTTATTTCCTTCACGTTATTGTCAAAGGAGTGTGTTGGGGATTAGTTCATAACGTGAAGAGCATTAAGAAGGAAAGATCAGTAGAGGCTATTGCCTATTTCATTAAACTAGAGTTTTTTGTCCTTCTACTACTTAGGATTGTCTGGTCCCCCTGGTGCTGGGAAATCAACATTTATAGAATGCTTTGGGAAAATGCTTACAGAGAGGGGACACAAAGTGTCTGTGCTGGCTGTGGACCCTTCCTCTAGCACAAGTGGTGGTGAGTATGTCTTAAAAGTTTTTTGTCAGCTCTCCAGAATTTAATCTTGACAATATCTGGAGCTTCTGGTGTGTGTGGTTGAAATTTTATCCTATAAAGTTACATTAATGAACTATATATTGCTTTTTAGTCATTTTTGGTGTGCTATGGAATTAGGCATCATAGTCCGAGTTTTGTGAGGTCCCCAAACTTGTGCTGTCTTCTGGTGGCCTTGTATAGTCTCTCTCTCTCTCTCTCTCTCTCTCCTGTATGAAATTACTTCCTTGGTATTGTAAGGGGAAAGGGAAAAGTTCCTTTTCTGTGATCCGTATTGTTGTTGTTAAAACTTTGCAATGTAGACTGAAAGTGATGCCAAATCTCTTCATTTAGAGGCCATCAGAATATACTTGCAACTCAGTCCTCCTCTCGCTCTACCCCTCCCCCCCCCCCCATATATTCTTGCTTTGCCTTGGATCTTGGAAAAATACACTATCATCCTTGAATGGGAACAAATTGTTTAACTTCTGTGGGACTATCTTGGTTCCAAGATAGACTCTTCTGTGTAGTAAGTCATAGTGAGGTTGCAGTGTCACTGAACTTGACTAACTTTTGTTGGCCACCTGCTCTTCAGCATCAGGCTCTCCAAACCCAAGTTGCTTTCATCTGCAAAACCCTACCCCTCCCAAAATTTATGTTCTGTGAGGCAATGCTGACTAAGCTTGATTTAGCAAACTTACCTGGGACCTAACCAGCAGTAACTGAGATTTTAATCCTTTTGTCATATATGGCTGTATCTGACTAATACGTTCTCATTTTCTGTATATCGTCCTCTTGAAACTTGTTATAATTCTACTACATGGAGATGTTACAGCTTAACTATGAATAACGACTGCAATTAGTTGTGGCTAGAAGGAATATTCCTTGAATGTGTAGTGGAGACAGTCTTATAGGTCACTAGAGAAAGGGGTCAGGATAAGGAACAAAGAGAAGGACTGAGAGGGTCTGTCTCCTTTTAAACTTTAGCAACACTTGTCATACCAATAAATTCTCATTAAATTCAAATAAAAATTGACTACAGGAGAGTTTCTTCTTGGGAGGACACTGCTTATCTCTGGGCAATTTGCTATGGAATGGGAGATGAGACTTTGCTCTCAGGGAGGGATAACAGGTAAGAGTTTGCTGACGCAGCTGCGCTCAGGTCACACATATAGGGGTTCGGGACTTGCAGAGTCTGTGCTGGCATAGAGGAAGCCCTCTGAGTTTAGGGACAGTGGGCTGCAGTAACTTGCTGTTATGCTTCTGTGATATTCTCACATCTTGCAAGCCGAAAGAGCCACACAGGAACTTGCTAGCACACAGCACTGGGAAATTCCCATTTGATTCTTCAGCAGAGACACTCACCTGCACCTATGTTACTGACTATTGAAAATAACTGACTACTTGCCCTTTTTGAAATTGTTAATGTTAAATGTTTAAGGCTCACTCTTGGGTGATAAAACACGGATGACTGAGTTGTCAAGGGACATGAATGCTTACATCAGGCCATCTCCAACCAGGGGGACGTTAGGAGGTGTGACTAGGACCACAAATGAAGCTATTCTGCTATGTGAGGGAGGAGGCTATGACATCATTCTTGTGGAAACAGTAGGTATGTGATTTAAATGTAAAAATCCAAAATTTAGCACTTGCACCCCACTGTACTGTCCAGGCCAACTTATGGCACTAATGATGCATATTTCCTCTTACAGCTTTTCTTCTTCCTTGTCTATTTCTGGTACTTCATCTTTTCTGGTCCATTCCTTTTATAAGTGTGTGTTGACTTCACCCAATGGGGCCTTAGTGTTATATCTTTAAGCCTTGTAAGTTCTGAGAGAGAATTTTTTCTAAAACTAGATTTCATACTGACCTTCATTGTATCCAACTTTGTTCAGCCCAGAAAGAGAGGGAGCCACAGTGGGACCTCTCCTTAGTACTGTCATTAGAATGGCTGTGAAAGGTCAATTCTGGTTTCAATTTTTCAGGTGTGGGGCAATCAGAGTTTGCAGTTGCTGATATGGTTGATATGTTTGTTTTGCTGCTACCACCAGCAGGAGGAGATGAGTTACAGGTATTTATCTTTTTGAAATGCTAATGGTGACCTAAAATATAAGTCTGAATTTGGAATAGGTGTGTGCATTAAGTCTGAGTAATCAAGTATTAGTGCTTGGTGTTGTCCTAGCTCTTCTCCCACTGAAGTCAGAATCTTACCAACTTGACCCACAAAATTTGGATCTGAATTTTCCCAAATGTTCAGGTGTTAGGATTTAAAGTTTTGGTTCTGGCCAGTCTCTTATGATCCACATTACTCATTAGATATGATTAACTTCTTCTCACTGTGAATGCTAGTATAGGTACATGGCAACAACAATCAGTTGTGTAACAACTGATTAGTTTAGCAAACTCAATTATGCTCCTTTCAGGTAATATATGCCAACCCATGCTATACATACATGAAGGATGTTAGTTTCTCATGGTAGAGGAATAAATATGTGAACTAATGGTTCGGAGAGTCGTCATAACTGCCTAACTACTAATGAAACCTCAGACATTCCTAATATTAGGAAATTCCTGGTGCCTAAAGATTAAGAAGAAAGTCAGGGGGTAAGATAATACAACAAACAAGCCTCATTAGTTTATGAAGGTTTTATGACTGAGTTTTTCTAAGCATTCATTTTTTTCCCTTTTCCTTATTCCATTCAGGGTATTAAACGGGGTATAATTGAGATGGCAGATCTAGTTGCTATAACTAAAGCTGATGGGGATTTAGTTGTGCCTGCGCGGCGGATACAAGCAGAATATGTTAGTGCTATGAAACTACTTCGCAAGCGCTCTAAGGTTTGGAGACCAAAGGTTTGTATGTTTTTTCACAATTTTCTTCTCTTTATTTCAGAAGAGGTGGTGTGTAGGTTACAGGACCTAACTTCATCCTAACTACATATTAACTACCTGGACATTTACATAAGTCTCTTCTGCCCCACTTGTGTACCTCTGCCTGAAACATCTTTGCTGCTTCATTCACACATCCCTTATTTATTGGGTACCCTCCCTGAACTAGTTTGGAAAGCCATTACACACACTCTCTCTCCTCCAAATCCTTCCTCAAAACTCACGTCTACTACAGCAAACTGATAATGGCTAGACCGAGGGTCAGTGGGGCTTGCTGATTTGTAATAATTTCTATACGTTTTTAAGAAGTTTGGGAACCATCTTGCTGTAAAGCATGCTAACCTATGTAACTACTATGATCCATGTTTTTTTCCTCCTTGTTATACCCACTTGTGATGTCTCATGGGATTTTAGTGCAACAACCTTGTCTTCCTGTGTGTACAGCACCTACCACAATGGGTCCCTGATCCTGTGGTACTGCAATACAAATAATTAGAATTTATAATTGAGGCAAGGAGGCAGTAGTAAAATGCTTTTATATATAAACGAGGCTTCTTGAACACTGGATAAAATGGACTATCAGACAGTTTGATCCAGCTGGACTGCCTGAGGCTTGGTCATAGTTCTCTGTTCCCATTCTCCCCCCTAAACTTAGAGTGCCTCAGCTTCCAGTCATGTGAAACCCCATTAGTGATTGGATGTCACTGCAGAAGGCAGGGCCACTACTACTTTACTTCCTGATCAGATTTTTCAGCCCTCTGGCTTATCCCTTTGAAACAAAAACCAGGAAGTTATGCAAACTGACCTGAATGTGCCCTTCTACCAAACAGTGTTATTGCTTTTTTTATGACTGTATTGACTGCTTTTAACATATTTACATAGGTGGCACATACATTTGTGCTTTGCAGTGTCTAGTGATTAATTTGTTCAAGCAGCAGAGCAATTTACTCAGAGCTGAAACCTTTACCCCATAAATTTTAGTAGGGAATGTAGCCTTTCCCTGTCTGGTTCAGTTCTGCTCTATATAAACACAAAGCAAGAGTGCTGACAGGTGACTTGAGATTTATATCATCTGGCAGAAGCCACTCTCTCCTCAGCACTGCTGAGCAGAAGTTTAGATCTAGAAGCTATAGAGACATCCTTTTTTATTTAGGAAATGTTAAGGAGTTTACAAATCCTTGCCCTGTAAATATCAGCAACAAAACAATTCTTATAACAGTAAGCTTTAAGTTTTTAAAGAAAAAATATACAGGAGTTGAGTATTACGATATTAGAGTGAGCATCATTACAACACCTATTTCTAGAGATTTTATTACATTGTGTGAAAGCTCTCTATACACATTTAACAGACCATGCATCTCTGGCAAGTGTTAATAGTAAAAGAAAAAAAATCAGACCCGTGTGGGGTTTTTGGCTGAATATTGAATAAAAACACTTCTCTAACTAGGCTGTTTTTAGAACTTGTTTCAAATGGCTTGGATGTTTGCTTTCTAGCCTACAATCACACTTCCAGGGTACAAAGGGAAGTTAATACTGTTCTTACTATAGTATTGAAACTGTGCAGGGTTTCATATTAAGCTGTACTGGTTCTAAATGTGGTTATGCAAATATCCAATTGACTTTCCATTTAAGTAGTAATATTGTATATTTTACCTTTAATTTGATAGGATCCCAAAACCTTCAGTAACAAATTATATTACTGCACTGCAGCAACTGCTTGGGTGTAAGCCCTCAGACAGTATGGGGGGAACTTTGTTCAAAAATACTTAGGCAAACCCTCTTTGTCACAAGTGCTATAGGATGAGAGTATCGTTTTGGAGGTGGCAGAAGCTTGGTTTTCAAGTCTCCTTCTAATGAGACGCAACATAAGCTGCATGGTAGGGGGAAAAGTCTACAGTAGCACTTAAGGATGAGTTCGCCTTACTAGGATTGGAACTTGTGATTTTAATAGAATCTAGCTGACGCAGAACTCAGGTGTAGACACCCTCCCCAACCCACTTAGTTTCTTTTAAAATGTCCTCCTTAATCCAACAGGTAATGCGCATGTCTGCTAAAACTGGAGAAGGCATTTCAGATATGTGGGATAAGATGACAGAATTTCATGATCTCATGCTTACAAGTGGTGAGTTGATCACCAAACGACGGAAACAGCAGAAAGTGTGGATGTGGAATCTAATCCAAGAAAATATGCTGGACCATTTTCGGAGTCATTTAGCAGTGAGGGATAAGATTCCACTTTTAGAAGAAAAGGTTCTCAGTGGTGTCTTGGCTCCAGGGCTGGCAGCAGACCTATTACTGAAAGCATTCAAAGACAGACCTTAAGATACCATGTTCTACTGTGTCATTGATCAATTTGCACAAATTATTTAAACATTAAATAAAATTTTCCTAAGCATGGCTTCAAATCTTTTACTGCAGCATACTTGAATGTAGCCCTAGACTAAATTTATTTTTTGACTCAGGCAAACATAATGCACATGAGGAACAAAGCTAGTTTCTGGGACTACCACAGATTATATTCAAAAAGAAAAATGTATGCTTCTAAAACTCTTATTTGAGTACAGCATTGTTAAGGATGTTTTAAAGCTTTTAATGAGATTGTAATAGAAATTGTTAAAACAAAGTAACTTTGTGGTACCGTGTGTCACAGTAAGCTAGTTTTGCCTGTGTTCCAGATATTTCAGCACTTGTCCTGTTATATTTACCAACAAAACCCCCATACAAAACAAGGGTAGGTGCAACTAAAACTGCTCTTGGGCTCATCTAAATGTCTTTCAGTGGAGGGGACATCTGTTTACATGACTGTTACATTTTACAGTGCATACATGACCTGTCTGTATAACTTACCAAAAACCTGATTCAGTCAACACAGTAAGCACCTTAAAGGATGTCTCCAAAGTCTCATTTACTCAACAAAAATAATCGTTTAAACATGGCTATGGTATAACACAGCTTACTGCTGCTGGAGCCTACAGTGGTTTAAGCACACTGTTAGGGCCACAGTTAGAGCGTGTCCATGCTACAGATTTCAGCTCTGGTATAGCAGTAGATGCTGCAAGGGGAGCTGTTGCCAGCATGGATCATTGCCCATCTCCTCACTGTGAGTGACAGCAAAAGCATTGGGTGCTGCATAATCACCTAAGCAGAACCTGTTTTGTGTTCTAAACAAATATAGCATTGAAGCAGCCCTGCCTGGGAGCCATATTTATCCAAGGAAACACCCTATTTTTCTCCTGAATAGAATTTTTTTTAAAACAAAAGATGAGGTTACATTAGGTATCTTTTCTTTAATATAGCTAATGATAAAGGATTCAAGTGGAACCCACATTAGCATTTTAGTTATGGAAATGCCTATCTTTATAATTAACTATATTAAAATACAAAACAAAACTTTGTCTATAGTGATTTAAGGCCATTTGGCTGGATGAAAGAGCTTCAGTTTCTAAACAAAATGACTTTCTCCTGTTGAATTCAACTTAAATACTTTGACTATTCAGGAGCTATATGCACATTTTGATATCCTTTAATAATAAAAAATTGGAGGATCTTCTAAAATACTATTTGGAAAACATGGTGTATTTGGCAGAAATTTATTATTACAGAAAAAAATGCCAATTTTGGAGACTGCAGAAAAGCAATAAAACAATAATTAATTGGAGTTCTATGAAGAATTCTTCATATCTTGTATAAGTAAATTGAATTTTTGAATTATGTTAAAAGCTGTGATATGTTTTCTTGGCTTCCCTGACAAACTTGATTTTGCATCTATATTTATTTCTCTAGATCTTCAGTTTTTTTTAAAAAACTTTTAGCTAAATCGTAATACATCAGAAAAGTTACCTTTAGCTTTTGAAGACGCTAGGAGATTTTTTTATCCTTTATCTAACAAGGATTCTTCATTGTCTAACTCATGCTACTTTAATTCTTATTGCCAGTGTTAAAGTTAGTTCTCCTGTCAGGTAACAGCTGTTGCCTTATTTTCCAGTACACTTCATTATGGTAAAAAAGGATAAAATTGGATGGAAGGACCCCATCCTGCAAACATGCATTTGAGTAATTTGTTCACAGGACTAGCCCTACTGAAGTACATTTTCAGGGCTATATTATAGTACTGAACAGCAGGACAACAATGGTTTGGCTGGTGAGGGGTGAAAGGCAGTTTCTGTATGGAGAAAATTTGCACTCATGTAACTGTATACTGGTGCAAACCACTAATGTAGTTTAGCTGCACCAGTGTAAAATTATGCTTAAACCACTGTTGGTAACACATGAAATTAAGTTACCACTGCTTAAGAGTGGACATCTACACTGGAGCTAGAGCCTTAATTTCCAACTTGAGTAGACATCTTCAGAGTAGCTCTGATAAAGCTAGGCCCTAGACATATCCAGGGCACAACAGCTAGTTGCCCTCTGTATGATCCTGTCAGAAACCCTAGGTATGTACTTAGGTTGCTAACCCCTACTGCTGCTCCTGCCATTGCTGCTATTTGTAGCATAGGTATGTCTACTAGAGCCGGAAATTGTACCTTCCAGCTCCAGTCTAGATGTACCCATGCTAACTCTGATAGGAGGAGGAGGACTGAAACACAAGTGCTTTACTATGACATCATCATTGGTCACAGTATAATGCTCAGTTGCACCCATGTGAGAGGAAGCTGTATCAGCTAGAGCACGCCCCGGATCAAAAGCCAGGGCTTTAAACCCCCTGAAATGTAGTGAAGTTTGCATCTGCACTTCATTCTTTGGGTTCATCTCTAACATACTGTTCATTTACTAAATGTGCTTTTGTGATTATGTACATACTTACAAAATTAAAATCTAAATTTCAGGTTGGCTGAGGGAACCTACCTTGTGGATGGACTAATTCGTTATGTAACTTTCGGTTGGAAACTGGCCTGATCTAGAAAGTGATGAGAACAGCATTTAGACTGGTTTTCTCAATATTTTTCTAGACCATCTATTGGATGAAAAATAGTGGAGTTCATCCATGCTAATCTATTAAAACAAAACTTTTACCCTTTTGATTTGTTTAAGTGCTCAAGGGCTTCCATTTTCCATCTCCTGTTAAAATCTGAAACTAGTCTACTTAAAAAGTCAAACCTGCTAAAAGGAATCTGCAGCTGAAGTGCCCTTAGCAAATTCAATCCCCTTCTCCTAGCATGGATTATTCTCTTTCTTTGTTTTCAATGATAGGGCCAAGTGACCCATGCTTGGTTGGCTGCTCCATTGTCAAAATTGTTGCTTTTGTAAATTCATTACCTCCTGTTTTACATGCTCGTCAGCCTTTAATAAGTCTTCTCTTGTATGTTCCTTATTTGTGTAGCACTACAAGCTGCACTGACTCGCTTCCTTTTTGCTGAGGCTACTATATGTAAATGAAATTATTTTTTTAGCCTTGGAGAACTCCCTTCCTAATGTTTGCTTTTAAACAGTAGCCAAGTCTTGCTATGGTATCAGCTCCCTCCACACTGCAGTAAACATGATCACTTCCTCAGTTTTCTCCTTAACTCCACATTTTTTATTCTATTTTTCATGGATGTTCAGAGAAAAATCTGTACCTTTTCTGTTTTTTCCAGTTTTAGGAATAAGAAATAGATCTTCACCTAGTTTAAGACTCTGATAGCAATACCTTTCCTTGGATACATATTTTCCCTAACAGATAGCTGGATAATCGATTTCATACACAAAATTGGCAAAGCAAACCACTTAAATCAGTAAATTACAAAATTGAGGGTGGATGTATAACTTTAACTCCAGCCTCTTTGGCATATATATTATAATTCAGTATTATGATGTCACGTACCATTTCTCAAATAACGCTCTATCAGTCCATTTTGAAGCTCTGAATACACATGTAGCATGGTGCAGCCTTTCTGATCTTTTTGTGCAATGGGGCTATGATCTCAGTTGGGGCATCTGGGTACTACTGTAATGTAAATAACAATGAATAATAAACTATTTTTTGTAAAAATACAATTGAACATGAGGTACCATTATTTGCTAGGCAGCAGAAGAATTCCTTTACACACACAAGCACTCAGTGAGGGAGAAGCCCTGCCTTTTTCCTATGCACCTTCACATAGAGGGAAGTGGACAGCACTCCTCTTGAATTCTCCTAATATACGATGTATGTGCAATGCTGATAGAACAGTGGCAGATGGCTACATGAGCATGTTTAATAAAATCAGAGTGCAGGCACAAAGTATGTTTTTAAACCTTTATAGCTTTGACAGTTCACAGCCAATTTTCACCAAACTACCAACAGGTAGACAACTCTATCCCTGCCCAATGTTCAGATTCTAAATCTACAATTCAAAAGATGTTGCAAAAATATTTTTAAATCCTCTTCCTAGTTCCTTTAAAAAGTTGATTACAACTTTTTCCTTTTCTAAAAAAATGCAAACAACTGAAAATAACATTTTAGAGTGGAAACACACTATACCTAAAATGTTCCTTATTACCTTTACAATTTAAGATCTTGCTAAACAACAAATAGGAAGTAAAAGACAAATAAGGAGAAACATGACATGCACGGTAGCCTGAAACAAGGGAATGTTGTGTAACCAAATATGAAAATCTCTGTTTATGGTGGTGGTTGGATTTTTGTGTTTTAATGGGACTGTAGTATTTGTGAAAGATGCCTGATTGCCAACACTTAGAGACTGATGTAATTTACTGTGAACATGCTTCATTTCTGGGCTGCATGGACTACATTAAAGATTGAATGGTTATTTCAGTCTCCACATCTATTTAGTCCTTGTTGTTTCAGCTTACCTAGCGGCACAGTTGCAAAGAAAATATTTATCCTTTAAGTACCAAATGGAGATTAAAAATCACGATCTTGCTAGAAAGAGACTGAAGTACTCACAAATCTTAGATGTTTGAGTAAATGATGTCTATTCACCTGTAACAAAAATGAGAAACTTTACAATGTGTGTTACACAGTAGTTGACACTGAAAAGTAAATGCTTCCCTTATTGCAATACTGTTGTAAAGTAATTAGCTAAGGCTTTATTCTTATTTACATAAATGTAATTTAAGCTCACTTTAAGGCCCTTATTTTTTATCAATCACTGTATATATTCCTACTATATAGCTTTATTTGCTGTTTTACCACCACCTTCTTCATTTTTGCTATGAAAAAATAAACAATAAAAAGGAAGTGTCAAAGGGAAGACTATTCAGCTGACCTGTCCTTTGACTGATTGTGATGCTAGTACACATAGAAGAAGAATAAAAAATTGTCACTGCACGCATAGACAGTGCACTAATAAGTCATATTTTTAAATATTTCCTCCCAGCGGTTATATAAATATATACAAAAATCCAGTTTGTAGTTTGCTAATTACTTTTTCTTCTTTTGCTGGTTGTAGTGCTGGTAGAGTTTTTATGACCTGTTGCTTAGCAACTTTTATCAACAGCAGCAAAGCACTTTCCTTTTCCTTAACCTTGTTAAAGTTAGGCTTGGTCACCTCTAGCACTCATCAGCAGAGGAAAATTATTTCTAAAGTAAGGTAAAGTTGCTGCTCAGAATCTATGAGCTGCATCCAGGATGAGCTATCTCTTCTTAGCTCCTGAATTGCCTTTGCCCTTTAGTCCTCTCTCTCCTCAAGCTTTTGAAGAAATCCAACGCCATGCTGCGGAAGCCTGGAGACGGGAGGCTCAAAGAGAGGCCAACTGTGCAACAACATATTCTGCTGGTTATGGAAAAAAGGAGCTGGCTGAACCTGCAAGAACCAAACCCTCCTCTCCTACCAGGATAAACAGACCTCATCCACCAGAGTAAGGTTTATTCCTATTTAGTGGAGCCTACAATATGTAGTTTTTTGAGTGGAAAAATAAATTCCTCTTAGAGGTAGAGGCT